GCTAAGAATTAATAATTTTAAAAAGAACTGTCCGAAACGAAGCATTCAGAGCAGTCTGAATCCTGAGCTTATGCCTCACAGGGATTTATTGGGCATACACTGACCTCATTTAAAATATTGTCCATGTTTAAAATGAGCACTGATCATTGTAACAAATTTATATCTGACGGACAATAAGAAAAACATAGCGGGTTACCTTTAAAGGGTCATTCTGGCTAATAAGACTTAAGTGTTTGTAATTTCAAGTTAGTCTTTCAGGTTTGTGGACATTAGAGAAGTAAAGAGTGATCAGATGAAGAAAGCGGAAAGGCCAACAGCTGAACACACTCGGAAGTGAAAAGAAAAGAAATATGAACTGACTTTCATTTGCGAGGCACGGTGTACAGACAGACTTCCTGTTTTAACTTGACACCCTCCCCTCACCCTTACCACAATGGTGTGCCCACAGCCCACAGTTTTCCTGCGCAGTGAGGGATTGTGACTGATTGTGACTTTACCACAAAAGGATCATTTTATTTCCTAGGCTGAGTTATTAACTTGGTGAGCAAAATTGTGACATGATAGAAAGAACGGATCAGAGAAAGCTACACAAATGAGACCAGCGTAGAGTTGAAGTTGTGTCTTGACAGTGAAAACAACAAAACAAACTCAACTTTAGTTTTGTATATAGTAGCTGTTTCAGCTTCAGACTGACAGCAGACTCTGTTATGCTATTGCTGTGGTCCAAGTTCTGAAATACAAGCAGTAATCAGGCCAAAAATAAAACCTGCTTTATCTCACTTGTTGTGGTGCATCCCTGTTCAAAATCAACTCAGTCGAACCCGTTTTTTTTCTGTCCTGACAGAAAAGTTCAATTAATGTTACTTCTGCTGAGGCAACATTAACAAATAATGAAAGCAATAAAAACAATAAAAGCAGTGTTATTGTAGAAAATCTGCTTCTGCTTTGTCTGATCAGTGTATTTTGGTTTTTGTTGTCTCATCAGGATGGTGGCTTCTTACCTGGTGCACCACAGCTATTGCGCCACAGCTGAAGCCTTCGCCAAATCCACCGATCAGGCCGTGCATGAGGAGCTGGCCTCCATCAAAAACCGGCAGAGTGAGTGCTCCTATATTTCTATATCTATTTCTTACTCCCCATTTTTAAAGTTGACACTGTGCTGTTTTTGTAGATTTAAAAATCATAAAGGAAACAAAGTGGTTGGTATGGTTTCTCTCTGCGAGACACAGTCAGCCAGCATATGTTGATTTCTAATACTCTACAGTATACAGTTCTTGAATTTAAACATCAGTGTATATGATATACACATTTTCCCCATACAAACTGTACTTGAACAGGAGCCTGATGATCAGAAACCATAAGGGAGAAGTGACACAGTAACATTGGGTCGTTATAGGGCTTTTCTTTTTTGTTTTGTTTTTTTCAAAGATGCAACAATCTGAGTATCTGAGTGCAACTACAGGCAGAGTTAAGCTAATGGAGCCCATCATAAAAAAGATGTTGGGATGACCCTCCCTTCTTACTGGAGGTGGAGGTTGTTAACGGTAGCATTCAAAACCTTCATGTGTGATTTCACTGTTGGTTTGTAGAGATCCAGAAGCTGGTGTTGTCGGGTAGAATGGGTGAAGCCATTGAGACCACCCAGCAGCTGTACCCCAACCTCTTGGAGAGGAACCCAGACCTTCTCTTCATGCTCAAGTAAGAACATGGTTGTATATAAAATGTATGTTTTACATGTTACACTTGTTTTATTTGTTTTATTTAGATGGATAACATTATTGGAAAAGTTAACAAAGCCATAATCTAAACCCTTTTATCTGTCACGCACCCTCACACAGCCTCACTATAGACAGTGAGTTATTCAATAATTATATTTAAAGGAAAGGGGATAAGATATCCCTTAAGATACGATAAGATTTCCTGCATTGCTTTGAAAATGGCTTCGCTCACTGCCCAACTTGGGTGGAATCAAACATTCTGCCCCTTTTTTAATTCTCTAAGCTGAACGACTACTGTCTTTCACATATGTAGCTCTATACTTAAATACCAAGTTAAGTACTTTTTTTAAATTTGTCCTCCTGTCTTTACATCCCTTTCTTTATTTCCTCTATTTCCATCTGTTGTTGCTCTGTGTGCTTTTTCACCTTATTCCACCTCTTTATTTTCATACCATCCTTCCTAACCCTTCTGTTTTTCCCCCCTTTTAATCTTTCCTCACCTCTTTCCATCTTTCCCCAGGGTGAGACAGTTCATAGAGATGGTGAACGGGACAGACAGCGAGGTGAGATGTCTGGGAGGTCGCAGCCCAAAGTCTCAGGACAGTTACCCCGGGTCACCCCGGCCCTTCAGCAGCCCCAGTCACAAAGCCAGCAGCTCCCAGCCCTACCTCACAGGTACAGTCCAACATTATTCACATCATCCACAGTGTGAAAACTTCACTTATCTTTGGGAAAAGGGAAAAAAATATTTCTTTCTTTCCCTGACCTGAGCACAAATATACATCAGCTTACAGACACCATCTCTACACCCATGTTTGAATCTGTGTCTGCAGCACAAACTAAAGCCCACCACATTTTTTTTCATCTTGAATGAAAGATGTTCCTCTAAAAGCAAGGTGCAACAAAAATACAAAACAGTGTTTATATTACTATTTAATAGAAAAGAGTGGATCTCCTGAACCAGTTGTGAGTTGCTCTGCCGTACCTGGAGACCAGCTGATCACTTTCAGCTGTATCTCATTAGCATGTGTGGCAACTGACTTGTCTCTTCAGGAGCGTTAACTACACATTGCCGTGGTGTGATTGTTTCTTATGCCCTTTAAGCATCTGAAGCAGCATAAATACCTCATTGATTTTTCAATGAAATAAAATGGGATGGGTAACAGGCTGTGAATGCATTTCTCTTCTTTGTAATGGTGAAGCCAATAAACTGCCAGTGAAGCCTTTTTCTCCCTCTCTCCCTTTTTCTTCTTTTTTTAGTTGCAGTAATAAATGTTAAATATTTATAATTTATTGGCTCCAACTCGACACATTCTGCTCACATTTGCCGGCAGCATTTGTGCAAAGCACACAATAAAAAACTGAACAAATGACTATTAACACCACTGCCAGTTAGTGCTGTGGAGCTCTTTAATGACAAGATAAGGGGGGGAAATACTATATAAAATTAGACTATTGGCTTTCTGTTTTTGTTTTTTACAGCTTTGTCCTGTCACTTTATATTGTGACTTGTTAGAGAGAGTGATACAAGATCATGTAAACTTTTGCTATTGTGGAGAAGATGTTTCACAATTAAAAAAACTGTAGCTTAATGTGAGTGTCAATTCTATAAATGCTATAAACAGTTTAGCGCAACTTATCCATAGATAAGATAAGGAAGGAGTGATGAATGATTTAAATGTATACACACACACACACACACACACTAGATCTAAATTTTCAGATCAGAGCATTAGGATTTTTCAGTCATTGTTTGTTTCATTATTATTCAACAAAACATCTTATTTGTTGCTTTGTTTTGTCATTCTTCTGTATGTTTTAAATATATTTATTGTAGTTTTGTACATGTAATGTATTTTCATAAAAGTGAATTACTGTCATTTGTTATGCATGTAAAAACCAAACTATGGGTAGTGGTTGGAAATCAGCTGCGAGCGAGCACATCAGAATGGATGCGTTACTTCTATTGTGTTTAGTAATTGGAGTTTTGTCTGTCACTTTAAGAACATTTGAAATCATTTCAAATATGTCAAACTTATTTGCAGGGTTTGACAGCAACTGCTGTAATGGTGTGACGTCTAATAAGAGCCACAGCTCCTCCCCTCACAGTCATAAGCCCTGCCCCCCGGGCTCTGGCTCCACTCTCCCAGCATCCGACATCAGCCTCAATGGGAGTCGCAGCCAACAGCCGATAACCAGGTATGGAAACAAAGCACTCACACAGCAGTAAAAGCTGGAGGCGTTTATTTGGTTTTGAGTTTTTTTAACTAGCATATCTTTACAATTTGACTTTAAAAGATGTAAATTTCATCATGTGACCTTAACTTTTCCTCCATCCCCCCCAAATTATTTTCATCTAAACTAGTTAACAGTAAATTTAGACTTTTAATCAAAATAAGCCAGCATCACTTTATAACAATCATTTATCCATTTTCTTATTCAGAGTTGAACAATTATGAATTCATTATTAAACCATGTAGTGGGACACATTACATCAGTATGCAATATAATAATGTATTTGTTAATTTCCAAATGTTATTGTCGTTAGTGAGTCTGTCCTCGTTCTCAGGGGTTCAAGTACTGCTGTTAGGTCAAAGCTGCCGGCGTCTCAGAGGTACACGTAAAGCGTCTGTTGGTCCTGTGAGCCACGTGTCATGGCATCCAAACCACAACCTTTTACTAAGGCTAACCTGACGCCTAGTAATATGAAACTAAACGGCATGTGAAACAAAACAAACTACAGTTTTCACATTCACTCCTCCGCCTGCTTGCTCACAAAATCTTTAAGACAAGAACTATAAAAATCAAATTTTACAAGGGCTTCAAAATATTTAGATGTACTAAAATATTTATCCAGTATTTATTTAACCATTGTTGTTAAACATTATCTGCCCAGATAATGTTCATAGATGGTTCAAACTAGACATTAAAATGAATATAATGAGTAAGTAATTTGGTAAGTAATTGTCTTAGTAATTTGGTTTCCAGCTTTCATTGAGGAGAAATTTCTTCCCTTGAACTTTCTGTGTTGTGATTGGATAATTTACCAGATTCAACAATCTATCAGAAACATGTGCCTTTACACTTCAGACAGTTATTTTTATTGATGCTGGTTACTATTTGTTATTTTTGGTTATGGTTATTGGTTATTTTTAATATTCTACGCTCCACTCAACAGACAGGAGTTGTTTGTTACCTCCTTGTCGAACTAATCTAATGCAGAGGACAGGGCAGTGTAGACTAATGGCGGCACGGAATTCACTTCCACAGTTTTTGAACTTGGGAATAAACCCAACAACTTAGATAGGTCTAGGTCTTAGACGTTTTATGTGATGAGGATGTTGGTCCCTAGGGATAGGAGTTACTTTAAAAAAGTAAAAATGAGCTATTGTGAATCCTATAGATGTTTAATGTAGAGCTGTTAGTATTAATTGTGTTGTTCTGATGTTTATGAGCCTTGTTAGAACTAAAGATGGAAATCGTGTCCGTCCTGTAATGGTTGCATTAATGCTGAAAACTTGCGTAGACAGAAATCACTCAGGAAGCTATAAAAATATCGATAAATAATCAATTTTAAATAGAAGCTGTGCTGGCAGTGATTTTAAATCAGAGCAGTATAATATTAGTGCCTCCAGTGGTGTGTTAATGCATTCACTTGGCAAGCAAAAGGTTGCTGGTTGGATTCCAGCCAAAAGTAGCTTCTACAAATCCAAACAGTATCCACCTGTAGAAGCTGCTGACAGTTTCTTGTGTCTTCTCTCAGTAATGATGTGGATATGGAGGTCGATCACTTCACCAACGGAGTGACAGAATCGTCTTCCAATGGTTTTCTCAACGGCACCTCCAAACACACCACGGAGCCTGACGACTGTGACGCAGACATGGGTGAGCAGAGCGTGTGGAGACATAAGAAACTTGATCTGAGACTTTGGATGTTGCGTTATAGTTCTAGCAGCTTCTTTCTAGCAGCCTTTTTCTTCTTCAAGATGTCATGCACACATTGTGCGTGTCACGCAGCCTTAAAAACACTTTTCTTTTCATTTTGAATTGACTCTACAGAGGTGGAGTCGGCACAGTCTAAGAGGCAGCTGTGCGGCGGAAGCCAGGCAGCCATCGAGAGAATGATCCATTTTGGCAGGGAGCTCCAGAGCATGAGTGAACACCTCCGCCGTGAGTGCGGCAAGAACTCTGCTAACAAAAAGATGCTCAAGGTAACACAGGAATCTCTCAGTTGCTTACTTGGTTTATATTGTTTGTTTTTGTGGGGTCTGTTCACCTTTTGTGTTTGTATTTCAGGCATTTACAGTTGACTTCAATCATTTAAGCCATTTTCTTCACATAAAAATATGCCTGCCTTCGTACTGTATATTTATAAAAGCTTCAGATGTTATCTGTTTGTACTAGCTCCCAGTAAAATGCCAAAATGAGCCAGGTTCAAATCAAAGGCAGTGTAAAGGGGTGCTCATTTTCTAAAATTCTGGTCTCATTTAGAGCAAATTGATGGTGAAGGTGTTCGACTTTGGCAGGTACCTACATTGATGATCCTAGCATATGAGCATTCAGTCTGTTTTTCAGTGACATCTCGTTCCAGTTAAACAAATTGTGACAGCAACAATAGTTGCCAGAAAACTGCCTCAGTGGAAGGATTAAAAAGCAAATGTCATAGATGGGATTGAGGTTTTGTCATTTAAAATCCGAGATAACGGGGCTCATTTTCAATCTCTCCAAAAGGATGTCTATACTAATGACCTCAAATGTTCAGTATTAACATTATTTTATTTCATTTTTTTAAGGGGAGAAAGTATAGCTCAAAAACAGATTTTGTGACCTCTGCAGTCAGTCATGATGTAATATATTTGTTTTAAAATGTACAGTCAGTTCAGTTGTCTTAAAGGAACGGGTCAAACTGTGGGAAAATTCTGTTTGAGCTGAAATGCTAACACAAAGAATGTTCAGCTACAGCATGTTGTAACAGGGCAGGGCAGGGATAGCTCAGTAGGTAGAGTGGTGGCCCCATGATCGGAAGGTCGGGGGTTCGATTCCCCTGAACAGCTACCCTGAGGTACCCCTGAGCAAGGTACCGTCCCTACACACTGCTCCCCGGGCGCCCAGTGGCTGCCCACTGCTTCACTGAGTGAATGGGTTAAATGCAGAGAGGGATTTTCCCCACGGGGACCAATAAAGTACACTTTCTTTCTTTCTAACAAAGCAGGTGAAATGAAGTGATGGGCTGTGGTGTGATCACTTTCTGCTCTCCCGTCTTCTGCTGCAGGACGCATTCAGCCTGCTGGCCTACTCGGACCCGTGGAACAGCCCAGTCGGATACCAGCTGGACGCCATTCAGAGAGAGCCGGTCTGCTCCACTCTCAACAGTGCAATATTAGGTGGGTTAGCCATGAGCAGTGCATGATCCAGTCTACAGTTTTCAGTTAGCATTTTGGATGTAGGAGGATAAAAGAGATTGATGGGACTGTGGGTAACCCAAATCTCAAAAAGAAGCAAAAAAACTCAGATTGTGATAAATGCTAAAAAACTTTTGCATGTGGTTTGCTGCAGAAATCTTAAGACAGACAGGCAGCATATCTTAGGGACTGCATATTACCAGGACATGTTTAAATCCAGGTGAACTAACCTTAAAGATAAAGGTGTCAGTGCACCTGCTATCCAGCCGAAGGCAGAACTGAGCAGGTATTCTCATTCTGAGTGAGCTGGAAAATGTGACTTGCTTCCAAAACACCATTTTTAACCATATATCAAATTGTCCTTTGCATGTTGATATGTTGATTCTGATTATCATGTAATGTGATGTTTTTAAGCTCAGAAATTCTTTACAGACATTGTTAAACACAATTTTCCTGCAGATTCTGAAGTTTTTCAGTTCAATAATCTGAAAATAAAGCCATTCAATTAAAATGACTTCCAGATGCTGTATGACTGTCCAACAAGCACTGCACCTACCAATTCCTGATATTACCTGCAGTCACAATTTTCTTTTTTTCCTTTTTCTTTCCAGAGACTCACAACCTGCCCAAGCAGCCTCCCCTGGCCCAGGCCGTGGGTCAGGCCGCCCAATGCCTCGCCATGATGGCACGAACTGGCAGCGGATCCTGCGCCTTCGCCTCTGTGGACGATTACCTACACTAGCCCCGTGC